GTTTATCAATTTTATTTACTGTTTCAAAGAACCAAGTCTTTGTTTCATTAATTCTTTGTAGTGTTTTCTTTGTCTCCGTTGCATTAATTTCTGCCCCGGTCTTGATAATTTTCTCCCTTCTTTGTGCTTTGGGCGTGACATGTTCTTTTATCGCTAAAAGTTTGAGGTGCAGCAGTAGGCTATTTATTTTTTCTCCTTCTGTTTTCCTCATGTGTTGAGTTTACCAGTGTAAACTTCCGTCTGAGGACTGCTTTTAGTGCATCTAGCACATTCCAGTAAGTTGTACTGACATTGTCATTTTTTGGTAGATACTGTTTAATTTCTTCTTAAATTTTATGTGTGCCCCATTGGTTATTCAGGAGGCTATTATTTACCATCCATGTGTTTATGGAGTTTTTGTGGTTCCCTTTGTCATTAATTTCAAATTTCATTACTCTATGGTCAGATAGTATGCATGGGATAATTTCAGTCCCTTTGCATTTACTTAAGCATGTTCTGTGGAGTAGTATGTGGTCTATTTTACAGAACATCCCAGGTGCAGCTGAGAAGAATGTGTATTCTGATGTTGTGTGGTGGAACACTGTATAAATATCCACTAAGTTCATTTGTTCACAAGTTTTGTTCAGTTCTGTTCTTTCTTTGCTAATATTTTGTCCGGTTGACCCATCTCCTTGTGTCAGTGGGTTAGGAAGGTCCCCTATTACAATAGTGCTATGAATTATTTGGTTTTTTATGGCTTAATGTTCGTCTAGGGGCTGGAGATTTAGCTCAGAGGCACAGCACTTGCCTGGTATGCATCAGGTCCTGAGTTCAATTCCTGGTACTAGAAAAATAAGAAAGAAAAAAAACAAGGTTCATGTTATACACCTGGGTGCCCCATATTGGTTCCATACATATTTATGATTGTTAGTGTTCTTCTTGAAGTTTTCCCCTAAGAAGTATGTAGTGACCTTCTTTCTCTCCTTTGATTATTCTGGCTTTGAAGTTCACATTGTCTGCAATCAGAGTTGTTGCCTCTGCTTTTTTCTGGGTTTCTCTCGCATGGAGAGTTGTTTTCCAATGCTTGACTCTCAATGTGTACATTTCTGTTTGAGTTAAATGTCCTTCTTGTACCCAGCGTATTGTTGGATTCTGTTTCTTGATCCACTCTGTCAGTTTTCTTGTTTAGATTGGTGCATCGAGGCCATTTACATTAATGGATATATCTGTTATGGGTTGACTTGTCTTTGTCATGTTGTTTACTTGCTGTTGTTTTCTTACTTTTAGTCTCTATTCAATTGCTTTCTCTGGTAGGTGATTCTTTTCTTTTGCTTTTATTGAAATTATGGTAGCTTTTATCCCTTTCTAGAATAACTTTTAGTATCTCTTTTGTTTGTTTGTTTGTTTGTTTTCCAGTACTAGAAATCGAACTCATAGCCTTGCGCCAGCCAGGCAGGCACTGTGCCCCTCAGCTAAATCCCCAGCCCCTAGAATAACTTTTAATACTCTCTGTTGGGTTGGTTTGGTACTTATGAAATTGTTCAGTTGTTCTTTGCCAGGGCAGTATTTTATTTCTCCATTATATTTGAAGGATATTTTTCTAGGACACAACATTCTAGGTTGGAAGTTGTTTTGTTTTAGGACCTGAAATACTTCACTTCAAGTTGTTCTGGATTTGATAGTTTCTGTTGAGAAATGTGCTGTGACTCTGATGGGCTTTGCTTTATAGGTGACCTGTTTCTTTTCTCTAACAGCTTTTAATATTCTCTCCTTTCTCTATGTTTCTGGAACCTTGATTATTATATGCCTGTGTGTAGTTTTATTTTGGTTATGTCTTGTTGGAGCTCTAGATGACTCACTTACCTGTGAGGCAGATTCTTTCTCCATACTTGGGAAATTTTCTGCTATTACATCTGCAAATAGGCTTCTTATGTTATTTGTGTTGACTCCTGCTGTTTTGTTGATGCCTATTAGTCTTACGTTGTTTCTGTTTGCCTCATCTTACAGGTGTTTAATTGTTTCCACCTGATTCCTTGCAATTTTT